ATGACTTCCAGTTTTCTGGTGGTTAATTGGAGATAAGAGTCTTACAGGGGTTTTGCACCCTGGGCTGGCTTCAAACTGTGATCCTCAGATCTCAGCCTCCTGAGTAGCTAGGATTACAGGTGTGAGCCACCTGGCTTCTTTCCATTTTTTTTCTCTTTTCTCTCCTTCCCTCCCTCCCTCCCTCCCTCCCTCCCTCCCTCCCTCCCTTCCTTCCCTCCCTCCCTCCCTCCCTCCCTCCCTCCCTCCCTCCTTCCTTCCTTCCTTTCTTCCTTCCTTCCTTCCTTCCTCCCTTCCTTCCCTCCTTTCTCCCCTCCCTCCTTTATTTTTTTGTAGTACTGGTTGGAACTCAGGGCCTTGCACTCACACTCAACCCTTAACCAGATTAGATTATTTTTCAGGTAAGATCACATTATGCTCCAGCTAGCTTGGGACCATGATCCTCAAATATGCTTTCTGCATAGCTGGGATTACAGGCATGGATCACCATACCCACTTTCTTAGTGGTGGTAATGGAAGGCAGGGTCTCACTCACATTAAGCATGTGCTCTACACTGCACCACACACAGGGCGCTGAATTGTGTTGCTGTCTTTCCCACCAGCGCAGTGTCCCATTATGCTCCTTTTCTTTGTCCTCATTCAGAGAGCCACCACCAAAGCGCTGGTGCAATACCTGCCAGGTATACTACACGGGGGACCTGATCCAGCACCGCAGGACCCAGGACCACAAGGTAGGAGGGGCTGGCATGCGTGAAGACCCCTGCAGTCCCGTCTCCGGGTGGAGGGCAGGGGGAGGGAGCCCAGGATGGGGTGGAAAGAAAAGATGTGTTGTCTGGGTGTGACCATTCCTCAGCGTGGCCTCTGGTGAGTGAGTCACGTTCCTCTCTGGGCTGTCCGTGTCCCCATCTGTCCAACGTGGGGAGGGCCCGAGATCACCCTGCCATTCAGCCACAGGGCTCACAGCAGGCTCAGCCTTTGGTAGCTGCCTTGGCTCAAGCCAACCACACTGGGAAGAGATGTGTTTGCACACGCCATGCAGGGTCAGAGCCAGGCTGGCTTGCTGCAGCTGTGTGGGGCTTCCAGGTGGGGGCACTGGGCACTGCCTGGTCACTAGCAGGGGTGGGGTGGTGCATAGCAGGGACCCCGCCTGCCACCCATGCCCCCTGCCCTCTTCCTCCCTCAGATCGCCAAGCAATCCCTGAGGCCCTTCTGCACTGTGTGCAACCGCTACTTCAAGACCCCCCGAAAGTTTGTGGAACATGTGAAGTCTCAGGAACACAAGGACAAGGCTGAGGAGGTAACCCCCGTGCGCCTCAGAGAACGTGAACCCAGAGAGGCATAAAGCCTTCCCCAAGGCCACATAGTAGTTTGAGGTTTATCCCAGCTTAACTCACACAACAGGTCCAGAAGGGACTATTGGGACTCAGTGTGTGGTGTGTGTGTGTGTGTGTGTGTGTGTGTGTGTGTGTGTGTGTGTGTGTGTGTGTGTGTGTGTGTGTGTGTGTGTGTGTGTGTGTGTGTGTGTGTGGTGTGTGTGTGTGTGTGTGTGTCCTGGGGCTTGAACTTAGGGCCTGGATGCTGTCTCTTAGCTTCTTTGTGTAAGGCTGGCACTCTACCGACTTTCCTGCCCGGGTTGGCTTCAAACTGCTACCTTCAGATCTCAGCCCCCCTGAGTAGCTAGGATGACAGGCATGAGCCACTGGTGCCCAGCAACTACTGGGACTCTCGAGGGTCAGTGACACTTGGCATCTCAACTGCCCCCCGCCCACCCCTCTGAGCAGCTGAAGACTCTGGAGAAGGAGAGAGCCAGCCCCGATGAGGAGCACTTCATCACCGTGGACGCCGTGGGCTGCTTCGAGGGCGATGAGGAGGAGGAGAAGGATGAAGAAGAGATTGAGGTTGAGGAGGAATTATTGAAGCAGGTGCTTGGGGTGGGCTCTGGGAGGTGGGCTGGAGCCAGGAGAGCCCTCCCCGCCCCTCACCTGGGACCCAGGTGCTAGGTTGCCTCCTGTGGTTCACGAATGCATGCCACAACTTACTAACATGCACCATGATCTGTGACCACGCGATGTGTGTGGGATGACCGCGTGGCAGAAGCGTGCAGGGCCTCGGAGCTTGGCTGAGATGGAGGAAGGGAAAGGCATGTGGGGCTGAAGGTAAAAGAGTCAGGAAGGCACAAAGTCAATGTAAGGTGATATGATGATGGTTAGCTCCTAGACCTTCTTTTCTTGCATGGGTACCAAGGTGTGAACTCTAGGCCTCAAACTTCCTTGGCTTGCTTGCTCATGGTTGGCGCTTTACCACTTGGATCGTGCCTCCAGTCTGGCTTTTTGCTGGTTACAGGTGTGATCCACCAGCACCTGGTCTTTTCTGAGTACTGCCTGTGTGTAAGGCACGTAGCATGCATGATCCTGGCAGGGAGCATGACTCCAGGGCCCTGGTGTGGATGCCTGGACTTGGCAGATGCTTAGCTTCCCTGCAATTTAACATGTTAAACTGGCTGTTGTGGGCCACTCCCTGTGCTGACCTGGGGACACCTGAGGACCAAGGTCTGGCCCTTGCCATCCCGGTCACCCTGCTTCCAGTCCGCCACAGTCCTGGACTGGGCTTGGCAAAGGGGTGGTGTCTGCTAGGCAGGTAGGACTGACAAGGCCTGAGTGAAATGGATACTTCTAGAAAGGGCTTCAAAACAGCAGGGTCCTTGCCCTGAACTCTGCTCCCGGGAGCGAGGTCTCGGCCGTATCCGCGGGAGCTCTGGGAGCCTGCATGAGACCCCCGAGGGTCTGGACTTTGGCTTGAGCCCGTCAGTGTTCGTTGCCTGCTTTCCACAACCCAGCTGGGCAACTCTGCGCAAGTGTGTTCGTATCCTTGTGTCTCAGTTGTCTTCTTGTGTAAGGTGTGTGTCAGCGCAGGGGGCCGGGATGAGGACTCGGCCATGGGACACTGGAGGCAGGGATTGTTAAGTTCCTGTGGAGTGGGAGGACTGGCTGGAGGAGGGGGCTGATTGAGGAGTGTCTGGAAGGCTTCTGGGAGGCAGGACCAGCCCGTGCCCAGGCTCAGAGCGTGCCACCGCCTGGGAGTCAAGGGAATGGTGTGCTCCAGACCAGAGTGGGCTCCAAGCCCCTGACCTGCGCGTGTGAAGGGCCGGGGACCCCTCTGAGGCCCACACTGCGTGTCTCCAGGTGAGCTCTGGAGACCTGTCTGTGGAGGAGTGGAAGAACGCAGAGACCTGCGACCCCGACACTGCGTATGGTAAGCTCCAGCCTTGAGCCCCTGTGCGGGCCGCCCCCCGGATCCCAGCTAACACAGCTGATCTCAGCTGTGCCCCACCTTCCTCCTCCTCTCCCGCCAAGAGGGCACCAAGGGAGGGAGCAAAGGGACCCCTGGCCGGTGGGTGACCCAGTGGGGCCCTGCTGTCTGGCCCTAGGTGTGGACTTGCTGGTGCCAGTCATGGGCTATGTGTGCCGCATCTGCCGCAAGTTCTACCACAGCACCTCGGGGGTACAGCCGTCCCACTGCAAGACCCAGGCCCACATCGAGAACCTGCAGGTTAGCCAGATATCCCAACCACCCCGCCCTGTCCAGGGACCCAACCTCTGGCCCATCAGCTACTTCCCTCATGCTTCAAGTCCCCTTAGGCCCCACACTGCCACAGGGGGTGGGGATCCACACTGCTGGGTGCTTTGTTATTGACCTGGGGAGGTGCTGAGGATCAGGCTTTTAACTCCAGAGTCTTGGCCCAGAGAGGCTGAGTGCACTACCCGGGGTCACACAGCACATCGACACTGTCTTGACTGCCATAGGACCAAAAGCTGCTGGCCAGAGCTTCTAGGAGACTCTGGCCTTACTGTTGTGCCTCTGTATTTAGAAACACAAAGCAGCCAAGAAGCCCAGCCCCACAGTCCATCGGCCTGTGAGCCGCCGGTGTGCCATCAATGCCCGGAATGCCTTAACTGCACTGTTCACCTCCAGCAGCAGCAGTGGTCGCCTGCCCACATATCTCAGCTCCCACGACAGGGCCAAGGCCCCCAGCAAGGTGAAGCGTCAACCCCCCAACCTCCTGCCCCGACCTCGGCGCTCAACCCGCCTCAAAACCTGATGGCGGGCCGGGGACCCCGAGCAGCCGGTGCTTTCCAGGAGCCCACGTGCATGTGCTTGGTAATTCCACTCAAAAGCCAATAAAAGGTCACTGGGCTGGGCTGTATCCACCCACAAGCACTCTGTCTGGGGGAAGCAGGGCCAGGTAGATCGCCAGGCAGCTCTCAGCCAATGCCCAGCCTCCAGGAGTTCAAACCCAGGGGGCCTGGGTTCATAGGGCACTTCACCTCCCTGAGCCTCAGGGCTGGGAAATGACAAGCTCAGAGATGGTGGTGTTCTCCCCAAATGACAAATGAAGAAACTGAGGCCTCCCAAGGTCAAGGGCCTTGCTAAAGGTCACAGAGCTGCTGGATGGCCAGGATTTGACTCCAGTGTGAGCTGTTGACCCGTGCTGGCCGCTGTCCACGGGGACCTCTCAGAAGTTAAAAGTGCAAGCTAAGGATGTGGTTCAATTTGGGGTGCCTGCAGCACAAGTTTTGGCCCTCCTGGGGGGTGCCCAAGTTCAGCCAGTAGCAGATGGAGCTGCTGTGGCGCTGCTCCTCATGTAGAGACCCCAGACCCTTAGACAGTGAGACTGGGCCTGTTATGGGCCAGCTGGGGAGACTTCCACGGGCAGTGCCAAGGCTGCAGAGTGTATGTGGCGTTCCCAGACTCAGCCAGAGGCCCCAGCCTCTGAGTGCATCCCAGAAAGTCACCAAGCTTGGCGGACTTGCCTTGGTCAGGCTGGGCAGCAGCTGCTGGTCAGCATCCCAGGTAGGGATGTCCCTCACCTGCGCTGTCTGTATCTAGGAATAAAAGGTGGTCACGAACCCAGCCCCCACCTCCTGTTCATAGGCCATTGATGTGTGATGTGTGATCAGGCCCCAGTTCACCTAAGGTCTTCATCCCAGCACACAGAAGAGAGGTGTGGAGAATTGGTTTAATGTGGATTTCCAATCCTGGGGGAAGTAGGGAGGTCCAGGAGCTGGGCCAGCAGGCAAATGAATGGGCTGTATGTTTACACCTGGCCCCAAGAGACAGGCTAGGAAGTGGGGGCTGGCTCAGGCAGGCAGGGGACCCAAAGGCCAGCCCTTGAGAAGGTATCTAAACCAGATAGTAAGGGCCCAGGGAGGCAGGATTGGGGCCTGGTCGGAGGCTCCCAGAGCCTAGGGGCTGGCATCGCCAGGGGCCTCCCCGAGCTGCTGCTGGAATTCCAGGCGTGTCTGCCGGTTGGACTCCAACAGCTCCTGGAGTCGGGCGTGGAGGTGATCATTCTTCTCCTCCAGGTGGTCCAGACAGGAGTTGATCTGGTCCAACATGGAGTTGATGGCTGCATACTCTGGGAGGAAGGGGAAAGACAGACCCAAGGTCCCGTGTCTCCTCTAGGCTCCTAGACACACTGGTACCCCATTGTTCCCCAGCCCGCCTCCAAGAGGGCTTTGGGAGAAGTCTCTACTCCTTCCTGAACCCGTGTCACCACCTGGAAAATGGGCAGAGACCAAAAGAAAGGCTTTGAAGAAACACCTTAGTGCTCCATCTTCTAGTTAGGATGGTCACAGCCTGGGAGGTCCCGCCTCCAGGGATCTCCCTAAGTGCAAAGGTCAAACCTCTTTGGCTCTTCCTTGCTTCCTCTCTCCCTGCAGAGGTGGACAGGGCCTCTTCCAGGCAGGCTCTCATCTCCAGCCCTTCCATGGCTCCCTCTGCCATCAGGGTAAACCACCAGCAGATTCCCAGATCCTCTCCAGCCCCCTCAGTTCCCTTCATCTGTCTCCTCTCCCAATCCTTTTCTTTTCCCCTCCCTCACACCCACCTCTCCCACCTCAAGCCCTCTGTGCTGTTGCCTCTGCCCAGGATATGCCAGTCCTCCTGTCTCCCCTCCCTTTTTTGGCAGTCAACACAGGCTATCCTATTACCAGCGCCCTGACGCACGCCAGTCTCGTAGCCCTCCACAGCCCTCTCTCCCCTCAGGAACAACGGCTGTGAATATCTGTGTGCTGGCCTATGCCTGTCCCTCAGCTGTGTGAGAAGTGACTGGTCTTGTGTTGGCTGCTGTCTCCCCAGTGCGCTCGATGACAAAGTAAGCGTTTGCTGAAGGAATGAGTGAGTGAATGAATGAATGGAGCTGACTTGCCAGCCTCTCTGCCTTCGCTCAACTCTCTGCCACCCAGAGATGCCTCGACCACAATCTGTCAAGGACCAGCTCAAAATGCCTCTTCCAAGAAGCCGTCTCTGGTCCTCCCTCTACTGCCACTCTTCACCTGCCTCTCTCAGAGACATGATGTTCCTTTGGACCCAAGGTCTGGGCCTGTGCCCACTGCGGGACCCGGTTCTGAGCCAGCCTGTGACTCAGATATACTTGGCTGCCAACTTAGGATAGGAAGAGAAGTGGGTGGTGGTGGTGGTGGAAAAGTCTGGAATTCAAGGAGTGTGTCTGGCATGTGGGTGATTGCATTCAAGGGAAGGTTACCCATTGCCCAGAAAGGGCACCACTCACAGAAGACAGTCCTGTGAAGTCTGCTGCAAGTCCACGCCTCGTGATACAGAGAGGGAAACTGAGGCCTAAGAAGAAAGAAACTATCCAGGATCCTATAGCTGGTTGGTGACAACCAAAATTCTCACTTGGGGATTAAGGGCTGTTAGATTTGGGTTCCAGTTCTGCTCTACCCCAGCAAGTTACTGTAGCTCCTTTCTAGAAAAGAGGTGAAGAATGGAAGTGTGAAGTGTATCCAGAGCTTAGTAAGGTCTGCTAAAGTGATTTTTTTTTGGGGGTCCGATCGTGGGGCCTGAACTCTGGGCATGGGCGCTGTCCCTCAGCTCTTCAGCTCAAGGCTAGCGTTCTACCACTTGAGCCATAGCGCCACTTCCGGCTTTTTTCTTTTTGCTTATGTGGTGCTGGGGAATTGAGCCCAGGGCCATAGGCATGCAAGGCAAGCGCTCTACCACTGAACCACCTTCCCAGCCCCTAAAGTGATTCTTTAGATGGTCATTACAACCAATACTTCACATTCCCTGTTAGGGACACCAGCTGGGGGACAGGAGGAGGTACTGAATGTCTCCACACCAACTGGAGTGAGGCTTTTATCCCTGTCAAGGGTACTTCACAGTTCCAAACCTTGATCCTCCCCACTGTCCTGTGAATCAGCCAACATCCATGCAGCGTGACCTTCTGAGCCCTTCCCTAGGCCCTCACTGTGGCTACTGCATCCTCTGCTGCAGAGCTACAGGAACACTGCTTGTCCACACTGGGTGGCCTGCCTTTATGAAAGTAGACCCTGGGTCTGGGTTTGTGGCTCAAGTGAAGAGCCAATAGCCTAGTAAACACAAGGTCCTGAGTTCAAACCTCAGTACCACCAAAAAAAAGACCCAGAGTGATGAAAATATCTTAGAACTGTGAGGGATGCACAACTCTGAGCATATAAAACCTTGGAACTGTCCAACTTAAATGGGGCTAATTTGTATAGCTCAATAAAAATGTGATGGCAACAACAAAGCACTGCCCCATCCTTACCCCACGTTTCCTAAGTCCTGCCCTCCAAGCTACTGCTCCCACCTTACTACAACGAAGAGAATAACCACACGGCTCACTTCCTCCATGAACCCTTGCCTGCACCATCAGTCACGGGACGGACACACTCATCCCTACTCCTATATGACAAGGGGAATACGGAAGGACGGGGCGCGGGAGCCCGGGCGGATGGTTCTCCCACCCTCGTGCGGGGCTGTGCACGCAACAGGCTGCTGGGGAGCCGGGCACAGCGGGCACAGCGGCCACGCCGGCCCCGGGTGCTGACTCAGCAGCGCGGGCGCCCACCGGGTCAGCCCCGCCTGCGCGGCCAGACCTGCCAAGCCGGGTTGCAAACCCCTTGGTGTGTGTGTGGGGGGGGGGGGGGGGGAAGTGGGGCAGGAAGTGATCGGAGCAAATCCCAAGCAGATGAGCATCCCCGGAGGTTGCCTCAGTTTCCCCTTCTGTGAAACCGGGCTGCGGTTGCTAGGAACCTCCAAGGTGGCCCCGGGAAAAGTCGGGACCTTCCGCGAGCGGGTGGGGAGAGCTCACCCCGTCCCCGATTCCCCTTCCCAGGGAGGGTACCCCTGGAAAAGCAACAATCGCTTCGGGAGCTCCCCCCACCCCGCGCCCCGTCACCTGCTTCCCCAAAGCCGTCGTCCTCGCCTTCCGCCGCCGCCTCCACCGGCATGCCCAGGTCCCCGTTGGGGCCCGACATTGCGGGCTCGGGCACCGCAGGGGCCGCGCGACGACGGAAAGCGGCGACCGTCGCCCTGAGAGCCGGCGCCGGGCGGAAGGTGGGAGCCGCTGAGAGATCTCGGAGCCGGAAGGGAGGAACGCAGCGGCGCGAGGCCGCCCGGAGCCCGGGGCCCCGCCCCCGGGGCCTGCGCCGCGACGCCCGAGCTCCGCCTCCTCCCCGCCCCACGGCCCAAACCCCGCCCACCCGCCGCTAGGCCCCGCCCCTAAACTGGCTCCGCCCACAATGCCTCACAGTCGGGCTCCGCCCCCCGGCCGACCCGCGGGCCCGGCCCACTCCGGGTGGCGGTGCGGGGCGATCGCGCGGCTCTCCGACAGCGGAGAAACCCGGGCGGCGGAGGCTCGAACCCGAGCGAGGGCTAGCGAGTGCCAGCGAGCCCGGCAGGAGAGCGGGCCAGTCGGGGACCTCCATTCTGTGCCCCTTCACTGCTTCTGCCCCTCTGTGTTCAAAATCAGACCAGCGGTTTCCAAGGCCTCTTGAAGTTTCGAGAATTTCCAGACCTGGCAGGACAGGACTGTCATGGAGAGGTTCCCTCCTCCTCCTTCCTCCTGCCTGCCCCGGCAGCGACCACCCACCTCACGCACTCCATCCTGGACCTCCCTGCCGTTCTGCGCCCGCCTGGGGGATCCAGGGCTGCACCTGTGGGTGGGAACCGGCCTGGCTCCAGCCCTGGACCAGGCTCCAGGCAAGTACAGAAACAGAACAATGAGGCCTCTTGAAATTTTATCAGGATCTCACCTTGTATACCTTTAATGTATGATAATTTCAAAACAGAATAAAAAGCCAGGCACCAGAGGCTCACCCCTGAAATCAATCCTACCTACTCTGTCATACTAGCTACTCAAGAGGCTGCCATCTGAGGATCCCAGTTTGAAGCCAGCTGCAGCCCAAAAGCCCATGAAACTCTTTTTTTTTTTTTTTTTTTTTTTTTTGGTCAGTCGTGGGACATGAACTCTGGGCCTAGGCGCTGTCCCCTGCGCTCTTCAGCTCAAGACCAGCGCTCTACCCCTTGAGCCACAGTGCCACTTCTGGTTCTGGTTTTCTAGTGGTTGATTGGAGATAAGAGTCTCATGGGGGGCTGGAAAGTTGGCTCAGTGGTAAAGCGCTTGCCTTGCATGCTTGAGGCCCTGGGTTTGATTCCTCAGCACCCATAAGCAAAAAAAAAAAAAAAAAAGCCGGAAGTGGCGCTGTGGCTCAAGTGGTAGAGCGCTAGCCTTGAGCTGAAGAGCTGAGGGGCAGCGCCCAGGCTCAGAGTTTAGGCCCACTACCGCACCCAAAACACACACACACACACACACACACACACACACACACACACAAATAGTCTCATGGACTTTGCTGCCCAGGCTGGCTTTGAACAGCGATCCTCAGATCTCAGCCTCCTGAGTAGCTAGGATTACAGGCGTGAGCCACCGGCACCTGGCTCCATGAAACTCTTCTTTCCAATTATCCACCCCCCACACACCAAAAAAATGTAAAAATTAAAAAAAATGCAAATAGAGCTGAGGGCTCAAGTGGTAGAGCTCAGCCTTGAGCAAAAAGCTCAGACCCTGAGTTCAAGCCCCAGGACTGGCATGCACGCGAGCACACACATGGGCAGACCCCGGGGCAAGTGCATGTGTTTATTTAGCAGATAAGTGGGTGGACTCCGGCAGCCAAGTGGCTTTTGGAGCAGTTGGGTGGGCAGCAGGGCATCACAAGAAAGGTCTTCCAGTTGTCACTGGCTTCATGGCTGGGGGTGGGGCATGGAGTAGACAATCTGGCTCCCTGGGCAGAGGCAACAGGAAGGATGGAGATAAAGATAGGCAACACCTGAGAAAAGAAAGTTGATTAAAGACGCTGCAGTTGGGGAAAAGGGAGGGAGCAAAGGGAAGTCTGGGACCCTCCTACTCCCACCCACCCCTGGCCACCCTCCCCTCAGCTCCCTGCGCAGACATACTCACTGCACCTTCAGTCATCAATGCACTGGTCTGTGGGAGGAAAAAGTCCATCAGAACAGGCAGATGGGATAAGTGTATAGGTACATGTGTGTGCATGCACATCTCTGGCTACCAGGACCCCTGTGCTGTCCCTCAGGCCTAGCCTGGACCAGCTGCATATCTGGGGGTTTCCTCAGGACTTGGGGAAGCCTAAAGACCCATGTGTGGAAGATGCAGTAAGGGAAAGGTTTGGGGACTTGCTGCCCTAAATGATGGGGCCTCTCATACCTGTGCTCCAGTTCCCAGGCCTCCTGCCTGTTCAACCTACTGAGCCCTAGCTAGCCTCTCAGCCAGTGACCCTGAATGACCTGGTGAGAGCCCTCCTTGCCCAGGTCAGGCTAGGCTCCTTGAAAGCAGGGACATGTCCTAAGTCAAAGATGAATAGGATCCAAAGGGAGACCCAGAACAGGAGGCCTGGGAAAACGTGGACACTGATCTGTGATTCTCATCTGGTAAGCCCAGGCTAACCTGTCATGGATGAGCACTTGGGGGTCAGGATCCCTGGGGACCCATAGATTCCAGGGTGGGGCAATGTCTTCCTAAGTCTAAAATGGCTTCCAGAGGAGGCCACTGCTCTTGGATGGGCTGGAGCAGGGCACTGGGTCTCTTGTTTATCCTCTCCCTGGTGGAGAGCATCAGGCCTAGACAACCCCTATGTCCCCTTCCTACCTCCCCAGCTGGCCCTTACCAATGGGAGTAAGGAAGGTGATGTGGTCATCAGTAAGGCCCAGAGACTTGGCAAAGTAGACGAAGCGATCCTTCAATCCAGAGCTCAGCTCTTTGTTTCTCCCTGGGTGCGGACAGAAAGATGCTCTATAAATGTTATTGGGTGCTGGTGGCTCATGCCTGTCATTGTAGCTACTTAGAAAGCTGAGATCTAAGGATCATGGTTCAAAGCCAACCCTGGACAGAAAATCCATGAGACTCTTTTCTTCAATTATCCAGCGAAAAACTGAAAGTGGAGGTAGGATTCAGGTGTTAGAGTGCCAGCCTTGAGCACAAAGCCAATGCCAAAACTCAAAAACAAAAAGTCATCGGACAAGTGAATGAGGCCTCCGACATTTTTCCTATAGAACCTATCTATGCAGGAAGACCTCCTCCCTGAGGGGGCTGGAGTTGAAGAAGACCTTGAGGCCTGAGTGAGGGTGGAGGGTCTCATCCCCTAAGTGTGACCAGGAGCTGGGGCCCCAGGGGATAGGATGAAGACCCACCGTAGAGGGTAGTCTTGAAGTATTCCACGTTTGAGGAAGTCTTTTTGAAGAATAACATGGCGAACTCCGAGTAGTTAGTGTCTATCACTTGCATAGTGTAGTTCTGTATATTCGGGTATCCTGTGGTACAGGAGTGGGGGTAAAAGGTCAGCCTTGCCTGCTCTGGGAGGAAGAGGAGACCATCCCCTTTCTTTCCAGCCTGCTGACCATAGGCTTTCCCCCAGAGGACAGCGTCTAAGTAGGGTGACAGAGAGGCCTGTGCTCCCTGGAACCCCACACCCACAGCCCCGTCTCAAATGGGGACTCACTGTGAATGTCGCCTAGGGTGTACTGGCCCCACTTGGAACCTGGGACAAAAATTCTGTTCCAGTAGTCACAGTTCTGACCCCTATGGGAGCAAGAGATGGGGTGAGCTGAGGGAGATGACACAGGTGTGGGCGCTCCTGGGCCTGACCAGGTAGCACCAAGATGGTGGCAGGATTCGGATACTCCCAGTCCAACTCATAAAAGCCTGTCACCCATTAAAGTGGAAGCTCCGCCCACCCAGTTTAGACTGGCCTGGGCTTTCCTGCCTTGAGCCTATCCCTCATCTGATGCCCAGAGCTGCCTGACTCTCTCAGATCCTCCCTCCTGCATCCGAAGTCCCTCTTCACCTGCCTCCCCTAGGTGGCCTACCCCACGTGCAGCCCCAGCCCCAGGCACTTACCCCTACTCCCACCTGGCTGTTCCCCTGCTACCACCTACTCCACCTGTCCAGCCTGCTTCAGACCAAACACTCCCTGAAACTGAGTTTTCTACTTTTCTTCTGCCTCTCAGTCCTCAAGTGCTCCAGCTCCAACCTACCAGCTTCCCAAATTAGAAAAACACTGGAGGGGTGGGGGAGGATGGGTTGGGAAGGGAAAACAAAGAAGGCTACAATGCTTGATAAGAAATGTACTCATTATCTTGCCCATGTAATTGTAACCCTTCTGTACAGTATTTTCACACACACACACACACACACACACACACACACACACACACACACACACACACAAAGCCAAAAAAGAAAGAAAGAAAGAAAAACACGGCAGCAGATTCAGTCCGTTCTAGTTCCCAGCCCTGGCTGCCCAGCCTCACCTTCATTGCTCTGCCCACCTCCCAGCTCCACCTGACTTTCTCCCCTGATGCAACTGAGTCCGGATACCCAGATCCTGGCCTTGTGGGAGCCCCTGGCCTTGCAAGGCAGGTTGCCCCAGGGTCTAGCTTCCTACCTCTGGAAGGCACCATTCTCTGACTCAGAGTGCACCAGCCCCTTCCATGCATACTCTGCACACTCCATGCACACACAACTGTGTGTGTGTGTGTGTGTGTGTGTGTGTGTGTTGATACTAGGGTTTGAGTTCAGTCCCTGAGCTCTTTTGCTAAAGGCTAGAGTTCCTCCACTTGAGCCACAACTCCACTTACATTTTTTCCCCTGGTTAATTGGAGATAAGAGTCTCAGAGACTTTCCAATCTAGGCTGGCTTCAAACCATAATCCTCAGATTTTAGCCTCCTGATTATCAAGGATTACCCAGTGAGTAGCTAGGATTACCGAGCTGTGTGTATACTTTCTGAGATACATTGGCTCCTTTTTATTTTTCATTTTTTGTTGTTGTGGGGCTTGAACTGGGAGTCTGGGCTGGGCTGTCCCTGAGCCTCTTTGGGCTCAAGGCTAGTGCTCTACCACTTGAGCCACAGCACCACTTCTGGTTTTCTGATGGTTCATTGGAGATAAAAGTCTCACGGAGACTGTTTTGCCTGGGCTGGCTTTGAACCACAATCCTCAGATCTCAGCCTCCTGAGTAGATAGGATTGCAGGCGTGAGCCACCTTTTAAAAGCCACTTTCTTAGAAGCCCTGGTTGGAGACCTGG